AAGAACATTAGATTGTCTCGTTCTAAATCAGTCATATTATTGGACAAAATTTTAGAAAAGTTCAATAAAAATGATTATGGCATAGTCAAAACATCAATAGATACAGGTCAACATCTATATATATAAAAAAAACAAAGGTGAAAGTGTCTCTCAAGGAGAATACTCGAGAATTATTGAAAGTCTAGTAGACTTGATAAGTTGTACAAGATCAGATATAACCTACACAGTTAGTAAATTAAATAGAAACACAAGTAATCTAGGGGCTTATCACTACAAATGAACAGTAAGAGTACTGAGGTATCTAAGATATACTTGTAATTTTAGACTGCACTATACCGGATATTTAGTGGTCATTGAAGAATATAGTGATACAAATTGGATATATGATATAAAAAGATTTCCATTAGTAAACTTGTGTTCATATTAGGCGGTACAACTAAACAAGCAGCTCTAGCCAGATCGACCATGGAATTTGAGTTTATAGCTCTAAATAAATGTAGTGAAGAGGCTGAGTGGTTACAACTTAGAGATTGTCAAAACTCATGCTAGCAATTTGCATACATTGTAATAGTTAATCAACAATTAGAAGGGCACAGAACAACATGTACAATGGTAAGTCTAGATATATATATCGTAGACACAATGTCAAAAGCCAATTACTCTCAATTGAAGTTCATCACAATTGACTATTTAATGTTAAATAATAACATTGCGGATCCACTAATAAAAGTATTAAATAGAGTTAGTCGGAAAATTATCGAAAGAGATTAAACTTAAGCCTTTGAATGGATAAGTTCATAGAAAGAAAATCCAACCTAGTTGACTTGAGATCCCAAGATCTAGGTTCAAAGGGATAACCTAATTATAAAGACTTAATTGAATCACTGTGGGGATGTTACCTCTTACCCGTTCCTATGATGCGACAGTGATGCCCGTAAGGATGAAGAATAAACAATAGGTTTTAATGATTCCTATTACGCTCCGATCTGATACGCCTCGAAACACGTACCACCATATATTCCGACCTGATAAAGACCCGTCCAAAGTATTTTCGAAGTGATATCGGCAATGCCTGCAACCTAGTAGTACTGACCTAACCGAAGCACCTCGCCCCCGAGGACGAGGCCAAGTGGACCCCGGTTAGAAGATCCGCCGCCAATTTCAGAAAGAGATTTGTACCAAGATTCTTCCTGCACCTAAGGTTTAAATTGATTTGACGTCTCCATGATGCTAATTAATGTGACTTATCAACTGTATGTCAATTCAATTCAGAAGAAACAAGTTGTCCGCTCAATCTACAGATGCGACTGATTGACGCCTAGGAGCGGACGCCTTATACCGTCAGATGTATACACGCGTCCCACATCCAACGACTCATACCACCTATAAATACCCAAGATTTGGCAAGAGGCAAAGGTAATGAAACTCTTACTACATAGCATTCCATAGCAAGCTTATATATTTTCTTCTCCCCCTTATCATTGATTTGCACAGCCCCTGGGTACTATTCCGACCACTTAAACCTGACTTGACCGTCAGAGTGTATACGGTCGCCGCCACCCTCGCTGGTCTCGACCATGTGCGTCTGACCATTCGCTGATTGTGCACAGGGAGGAATACGTGGAGTAGCTCTCGGCTGGCCACGTGGGAGGACCAATTTTCGAGGTCAACAGATTGGCGCCGTCTGTGGGAACCACTTCCCATTAAAAGTTTTGCATTTTCCATCGGAGAAGTTACCGAAAAACTAGCGACTAACCCTGAAAAGGGGACGTTCTTGAAAAAGAACAAAGTCGAGTTACAATCCAAGTTCTCACCACCCTTGAAAAAAGAGATAGAATGAGCTATAGCCATGAAGACGACAACCCCATGAGAAAGGCCTTTGAAGAAGAGGTACTCAATAACAATGTTACTCATCAGAGACCACATCACCGGCCTCGACGAGGTGGAAGAACAACCATACTCACTGAAGGAATGGCTCAGATAGCTGCAGGTATAAGAGACATCGCAGCTCAAAATATGGCAATGCATGAACTCATCGTGCAAGCCCAGGGTCATCAGGGCTATCAAATGCCCCAAGGATCTTATCCGATGCGGGAAGCTCCTGTATCTCACTCCCGAGGCCACATGAGCCGGCACACAGAACGTCCCCTTAAAAGGGAGATGAACGCCGAAGCCACATCTTATGTGCAAGGGAGCCAGCCATCAGAACCACGCTTGGGGGACAATTTCCCTCAAGAACATGAGGACCAGAGGTTGGTAAGTGTCTTCGACCTGATAGGAAAGGGTCCTAGCAATAGGGTCCACCCAGCAAAAGGATCAGTTCGTCCAGATCACGAACAAGAATATGCTCCTCCTCCTCCTAGAAATAGGAGAGACAGGAGGAACCTAGTCGATTGGGGAGGTCGAGGAAAAGCACCTCCACCTCCCCAGAACATCCAAGATGATGAAGGGTCAGATGGGCCCTGTCGATCTTATGAGATTGACGATGATGATGATAACCTCCCTTTCTCAAGGGAGATTCGAAGCTTCCCAATGCCAGCAAATTTCATGCTCCCTAAGTTTCCTAAGTATGAAGGAAAGGGGGACTCGGAGAAGCATCTCACTAAGTACATGACACAGATGAGCCTAAGGGGAGCCTCGCCTACTTTAAAATGCAGAGCCTTCCATTTAACGCTGGGCGGGGCCGCCGAGGTATAGTACAGCAGGCTTCCTCCCCTAAGTATCAGAAGTTGGCCAGATTTGAAAAAAACATTTTTAAACTAGTACCTCTCACGTAGGGAAGGAGAGGCACCAGTGCAACGCCTGCAAGATATGAGATAGGCCCCTGGGGAGACGCTGAAAAGCTATCTCGCTAGGTTTACAGACGAAATCACCTACTGCGAGCAGGTCACTGACAGAGAAACCCTTTCAACCCTGAAAAGTCGGCTCAACATAAACACTTTATTCTGGAGGGACGTCCGCAGCAAGAATCCCTCCACATATGACGAGCTGGTGGAAATGATGAGAGTGGAACTTGTTAGTGAAGAAATGATTGATCATCGCAACAGTGCCGTGCAGGGACTCCTTCCTCCTCAGAGGTAGGTAAATCGAGGACCCGCAGCACACCTTGTTACTCAGCAATGGACCCAAGCAGATCATACAATAGCTCCCACATCCGGACAGGCCCTAGCTTCCACCACATTGAATGTAGTATCGGTGTTCGCATATGATAATGCTCCTGCCGAAGGGGGACCATCTGGAAAAGCTGATAACAGGAAGAAGAAGAAGAAGAGGTCAAACAGACCCTTGGAAGGGGCAAGGTTTTGTACGTTCCATCAACTCTATGGACATGACACTAGTGAGTGCCGAGACGCCAATCGACACCCTGATCGAAGCAACCCGCATAGGAACGAATACCCTCGCAGATCTACCTCCCCGAGGAGGGGGGGAGAGGTCACAGGGAACGATCGCCTCGGAGAAGAGAAGTAAGGGACCGAGGTCAATCAAGACTGGGAAACCAAGCCCAATTTTCTGGAAGCCAAGTCATCAGGGAAATCGATACTATCATTGGGGGCCCCACGTCGGTGGCAACACCAGGAATGCCCAGAAAAATTACACAAGGGAAGCAAAGGACCCCCAATGATTACTTACATTGTCAACGAATCGCAAGCTGTAGATAGGATGACCCCAATCACCTTCTCCTAGGAAGACTCAAAGGAGGTGTACCACCCCCATTGTGATGCATTGGTTGTAAGAGCCGTAGTGGCTAGAAACGGATTAAAACGCATGCTCGTTGACAATGGCAGCTCCGTGAACATATTGTTCGGCTCCACTTTTGACAAAATGCAAATTGAACATGGGTTGATCCCCATGACCAACCCACTATTCGGATTCACTGGAGATAGCATCATCCCATGAGGGCGGATCACCCTGCCTGTCGAAATGGATTCGGCACCCCTAGTGGCCCAGCACTTCATGAAATTTTTGGTGGTAGATCACAAATCG